GGGAGCCTCCAGCCACATCCAGGTGTGTCCAGAGCTTGCACTCGACAGCTAGCCTGATCACTCTGACAGTCCATTCTGTCCTCTTGCCCAGGCCCCGGGATGCTCAACAACCACAGCCACACTGTGCCCACTAATGGCGAGATGAACGGTGGCCATGGCTCCCAGCCCATGGTCTCGGGGTCCCACTGCACTCCACCACCCCCCTACCATGCTGACCCCAGCCTCGTCAGGTAATGTAATGTGAGCCACCGCTGGCCCCGGGCTTGTGCTGTCACCCTGTCCACTAACTTCGGTCCATTTGTGGCTCCTGCCCCAGTGAGCAGTCTCTGCGTGCTGCCCCTGTCCTGTTCTGTGTTTTAACAGCTCTGCTATCTAAGAACAGAGAAGGGTCATGTCCTTATCATTCAACAGACGCCTGGGGGGCAACAGTTCACTTAGAAGGGAGAAAGAGACAAAAAGCCAGGGGTCTTCGTTGACGCACCTGTGTTGGGCACAGGCAGAAGCCCTGGCTTTGCCTGACATGTCGGCCACCAGAGGGCAGTGGGTAGCGAGGAGCCGTCCTTTAGGGGCAGTTCCACTCCATCCAGGCCATTCCCAATAAGGCACTTGGACTTTAATGCCACTTCATTTCTCAAATTCTCTCTGCAGTTTTTTAACAGGATTGGGGTGTCCAAACTGCATCGAGTATTTCACCTCCCAAGGGTTACAGAACATTTACCACCTGCAGAACCTAACGATCGAGGTAAACGCCCCGGCCAGCCCCTCCCCACACTGGACGGGGCAGCTCCAAGTCCCCACCCACAGAGGCAGTGGTAGAGAGGGCCCTGCTGGGAAGGCAAAGAGCTTTCTCTTCTCCCTGGGCAGTGTTACCGGGGCTGGGAAATTTGGAGTCTTTACCACAGGCAAGCAGCCTGCACATCCTCAGCGTCTGCCTTGGATCTGGAGTCAACCCTCCAAAGCTGCAGGCCAGCTCAGGCATGAAGCAGGCTGGATGGGACACATACCCAGGCCTCCAGGGGCAGGGCCAGCTATTTGGACTTGAGGGTTTTTTTCTCATGCCTGGAAGCTAGGCTTCCTTTGATTTTAGGGAATGGGCTGTTTCCAAGACACAGAGAATTAAAGCAAGCAGAGCTGAGGCAGCCAGTCTAGTTCAGCACCATTTACAAAGGGACAAACTGAGGACCAGAGAAGCCAAGTGGCAGAGCCGCACAGCTCATTGTACACATGTGACAGCTGAGCATTCTGGGGCTGAAAGAATCCTGGGCATCATGATTACACAGCCATAGCTTGTCCTTGGATCCAGTGAGAATATCAACGGACTAGTCCCCAAACCCTAGGACTGCCTTGAGCAATAACACGCTGTTAACTCAGGCAGAGCAAATCTGAGAAGTCCAAGAGACAGAGCCATCAGACCTGTGACTCGGGTGGCTCCAGCTCTGTACCTCAGAGCCCTCTGCAGCCCCTGCCCTCCACCCAGCTAGCTTGGCCTGTCCCAGAGGTCCACCTACAGTTCCCCCCCGCCCCAAGCCAGGGTCACAGCTCTGATTTGTCAGGGATAGCCAGGGCCAGTTGCTCATGCTGGCTGTCTCTGAGGTCTAACAGTGCACTCAGGGTGACATGTCTGTGTGTCCACTAACTGCCACCCCCCCACCCTGTCCCTGTGTGACCCATGCTGAGCAAGCTCCAAGGTCTTCTGTTAACCTCGCCTCACCAGTGTGGTATGTGTGCTTGGTGTGATGCTGGGACAGCGATGGGAGCTCAGGGACCAATGGCGATCGGACACACCATCTGGAGGAGGAAGAGGGGCTGAGCCCTGAGATTGGGAGGCAGGTGGGGCCAAGGGCTCTGTTGGTCCTGACTATGGTCAGGACCCAGGTCCCCACATCTCTGTGGACCATCCCCCTCCACATCCACGTTTCAGTTCTGCTGCCATCTCTGGCTGGGGGCCCAGGAATGTGGCATGGCCAGACCTTCACATCCAGGGTGTGCCTGGCCCTGACCCTCTTCCTGGGCTCTCCCAGCTGCTCTGTCCCTCATGAGCTGTTGTCATGGTCTAGGACAGACGGTGGCCCTCTGAGACAGGATTTTTTGCTTTCCCTTCGTGACCTTGGTCCTTGGGCCTTGCTCACCATTGGCTCTGATGGGTGGGCCTGGTTGGGGGAATGGGAGGGCAGCCAGGTCACAGGCTGCAGGCGACTGTTGATGGGCAGTGGGCACTGATACTCTTGCAGGATCTCGGGGCCCTGAAGATCCCTGACCAGTACCGCATGACCATCTGGCGGGGCCTGCAGGATCTGAAGCAGGGCCATGACTACGGCCCCCAGCAACTGCTTCGTTCCAGCAGCAATGCTGCTACCATCTCCATTGGCAGCTCGGGGGAGCTGCAGCGGCAGCGGGTCATGGAGGCCGTGCACTTCCGCGTGCGCCACACCATCACCATCCCCAACCGTGGAGGTGGCCCAGGTGGTGGCACAGGCCCTGATGAGTGGGCAGACTTTGGCTTCGACTTGCCCGACTGCAAGGCTCGCAAACAGCCCATCAAGGAGGAGTTCACAGAGAGCGAGATCCACTGATGGGCCACCTCCTCCCAGGAGCCTGCAGTCCAGCACCTGGGGAGCCCCATCTTCTCTCTTCTTCCTTTTTGTTAAAAACTGCCCTTGGGAGGCAAGACTTTAGGGAAGGCACTACCTTCAAGGGGACATTGCTAGCCTTCACTGGCCCCAGGAAATGTCCAGTCACCAAAGCCACCCATGGACAGCCTGAACCATCCATAAGGAATTTTTGGAGCTGCCCTACTGGTGTGCTTGCCAGGGCCAGGCATGGGCTGGACACGTAGGCTGAGGCTAGCCCACGCTCTCAGCTCTGCCACTGTCCCCTATGTTTTAAACTGCAGACATGGGTGGGGACACCAACGTGGTCTCGGCCTTCTGTGCCTCATCTTCCTTAGAGACTCTACCATCTCCCAACTAAGATCCTTCCCAATTAAAGGATCGTGTTTGCTGACAAACTGCCAAAAAGTATTTTCCAATGTCTTTTGATTATGGGTAACAATGAGCAGCGAGGTGACTGTGACTAAAACACATTTACTTTCAGGTTAATGCCCCAAACTGTGTCTTCACCTACACTGGGGGCTAGGGACTCCCTCTGCTAGACTGGGGGATTGGTCAGCATCCCTGGCATAGTCTTTCCTGCCCAAAACTAACCTCAAAGTTTTGCTGGAATTGAGAGGACTGGACAAGGACACCATCCCTCCTGGGAAACTTCTGGCCTCGTCAACACCTCTGAGAACAGCACTCACACTTCTCTTTGGTGACCACTCTCAGCAGAGGGATGGCATGTCTCATAGACTGTGGGAAATTGTCGATATTTGATAAAACGATACCCTTTTCTCCATGGTGGATCAGCTTTTTTTGTTGTTGTTGCTTAAAGTTTCATTCTCAGCATTCCCTTCCCAATTCCCCTTGTGTGTTCCTAGCTTCCCCATGTGTTGTGTGCCAGCAGAGAACTGAGTGACGAACTAGATGGGGCCTGCCACTAGTCTCTAGATGGGGACAAACCTGGAGAGAGCCGCTGTGGAGGGAGTGGGTAAAACTGAGGGCAGCCAGTGTTTTGCAGGTGGGGTGGCTCTACTTAACCCTGTGGCTGCTTCTGCAAGGTAGGGGTGGGGGGCAGTGGCTTCATTTCTAGGTGTAGGCAGTAGTTGGCAGAAACATCTGCCTCTTAGGGCTCAGAGGCAGAGTCCTGTGCAGGTGCAGGGGGATCCTGGCCTTTATGATGCACCCCAGAGTTACCGGGAGAGGGGAGACAGCTTCTGCATGGGCCCACCAGATGGGGCTATTTCCATGTGCGAGCCACCTTCTGAGCCTGCATGTGTGGAGGAGCATCCATGATCCTAGAGCAGCACAGCTCCAGGGCAGGGATGGAGAGAGACCAAGCAGAGTACAGTCAAGCACACACCTTTGTTTGAGGTGGGTGGGATGGCAGGGATCTTGCCAGCACCTTAGCTGAGCAAGAGCCTTGGGGACAGACTGCCTGACCCTTTCCAATGTAGCTGCCCTCCAGCCCTCTGCCGGGGTCAGTGGAGCATTAGTTCCTTCAGGCCTGGTTCTCCTCTCACCAACATCACTAACAGAAGCAGTTAAGCAGCCAAGGCCAGAGGAAGGTGTAGACACGGCCTCCTGCCCATGTTACCTCAGCTCACCTTCACAGTGTGGGGTAAGTACACTCTTCGTGCTGTTTCAGATGAGGAAATTGAGGCCAGAAAGGTTAAGTCCCATGCTTTAGGCATCATACCCAGCTGGGCTGGAACCTGGGCATTTGTTCTTGAGGCCACAAGCTGGAACCTCCCAGTTCTACCCCCTTAAAAGCTGCAGGGGCCCATCACATACTCCTGGGGGTCCACGACCCTGGCTGAGGTGCACTTGAACTCAGGGTCTGTGGGTTTGTTCATCAGGCATATTCTCTGTTGACTAGTAGGGGCTGCTCCAAGGGCTCCCACCATGTGCTCCTGGAAGGGGTTAGTGGGGTAAGCGGGAGAGGCCCCAGGAGGGTGGCTGTCACTGGAACCCCAACCAGACATAGACGAAGAAGGTCCAAAAAATGCTGCAGAGCAATCTTCCAGAGGACCCCAGGCTACGTGCTCCTCAGACCCCACCCCAAACTGTCTGATAGCCCACACGATCTGCACTCCTCCCACAGAGGATGCTTGGAGAGGAGATGCTATGGAGAAAACTGTAGAAACTGCATGGTTAAGAGAAAATGCAAATTGCTAGGAACAATTCTTGTATGTTTGAAGCCCTTGTTCTGTAAAACTCAGAAACCAAGGATAAAACAAACCTTTCAGGTGTGAGGTTTTCCCAGCAGTGGTGTGGTGGTGCAGAAGCCTGTACCACTGTCCTATAGCCTAGGAGGTGAGATGGCCTGGAAGGTGTCTGCTGAATTAGGGTGGGGAGTGGAAGGAGTCCAGCGGGCAGGCCCCACTCAGACATCAGCCTGGGACAGTTCCAGGAAGAAAGAGCAACTCTGACCAGTCCCTCTCACATCCTTCCCTTAGGCTGGTTCAAGAAGGGCTTTGGCCTTATCCAAACACTGGCCACCAGGCCTGAGCTTCCGGAAGTGGTCACTGTGCTCTGGCCGGCGCTGTCACCACCTGGCACAGGAATCTGCACAGCACAGCCAGCTCCTTAGAACACACCCGCGTGTCAGACACACACACATCAGCTTCTCTGTCGCTGTTGGTTAAAGCACTTTAATGCTTTAAAAAAAATTTTTTTTAATACCATCCATGGTTTTAATGTAATATCATGCTTCTTCAAGCAGTATTAATGGATATATTCCAACCACATTATTAACATCTTTTTGTAATGTAATCATGGGAGAATGTGTTATTTTTTAAACTGTGTTTTGGTGGGAATTTTCGTTTTTGTAATATAATAAAGCACATGTTCCGATGACTGGCTCTATGACTAAACCATCCCCCATGGGCTCCAAACGATTAGGTTGCTCAGTGCTCAGACACAGCAGCAGATACAAACACGGCCTGGTCTGAGTGCTATTTGCATCATTGATGAATCCGATGGGTCCAGAGTACCTTCTGCCTGCACCTCAGAGGGCCTGTCGACAGAGCAGCCACCCTCACGGGTCTCAGTCTGGCCACTTCTGGCAGCACAGGCCCAAGACTGCTCATCTGTGAGGCCTAAGGTTCTCTGACTTTAGAAAGGTCACATAGGGTCTCCGGACATGTTAGACACCTTCACAGCCATCTGCAATGGAACATGTGCATGTTTCGCAGCAAAACTTAAGCAAAGGAGTTGGCAGACAGCCTCCTGTCAGCCCGTCTTTGCTGCCAAACGGGCTTCATTTCAGATCTCTTGGTTTGTAGGTTTCTCAATTTCAGAATTATGAACAAGGGGTTGGGAGCATATCATGGCCAAATGAAGGCTTTAGAAATCAGTTCAACCTTGAGAGAGGTCTGAATCTTTTTAGAAATTGGACTGGAACAAAGTTGAACAAGATAAAAAAGTCTGGATGAGCGATGGAGAGATACCAACGCTCCTCTGTGTACTGAGGTGGTGCTTCTTGCCGCTGACACGGTTACTCCAGGTTCCCCTCACTGGCCACCATGCACAGGGGAAGCACAGGTGAGCCACAAGGCTCCACCCTAGCCTGACCAATGCCTTTCTGGTTTGAGCCTATTAGCGCGCACCCTTCCCCACAGCCACCTGCCCTTTCCCGACTCTTCGCCAGACACCACCATGGAGGACTGAACAGGACATGTGCCCACACCATCACAGCGGCAGACTCTGATCACAGAGGTGTCAATACCTCAGGACTGGATGGGAAACAAGGCTGCGGGACATTTCATTGCAAAGGCACCACCCCGGGCTAGCTGAAGTGGCACAGGTGGCGGGTGTCACTCTAGAGCCACATAGGGGCCAGGTTTGGATCCCAGGTCAACTTGAATACACTGGGTGTGTCTCAATAGGCTTATAATCCTGACTAGTTGAGAGGCTTGGGGAGGATTGTGGCATGTAAACACTTTCTCTTTCAAGAAATAAGCAAAATATGGGCCGGCCATGGTAGTGTAGCAGTAATGTAAAGCTTCACGATGCTAAACCCACCTGGGAAGGTCCCGGGTTTGTGTTCCAAGGTCTCCCTGTGCCCACCGGGCACATGTGCACATATGCCTGTGATCCAGGCTGGTTAAGGCTAGGGGTGGGCTGCAACATGTACATCCTGTCGAAGGAACTGCTTGTCCCTCCCTCTTTCCTTGCCACCTCCCTTGAAAGACATAAATAAACTTAAAAAGAAAGAAAATTAAAAGAAGAAAGAAAGATAGATACTGTCTTAAATATCATACAAATGAGGACTTGGAAAATACCCTTGGGGTCAGCTCCATGGCACAGTGGTTAAGAGCTGTGCACTGGGAGTGGTCCCGTGTGGCCAATTGTGGTTTGAATCCTGGTGGCTTGAAAAACACACCAGGTACATGTGTGGGCATGCCCCAGATCCCAACAGAATGAGGAAAGAAAGGAGAAGAAAGGATTGCAGGATTTTTTAATTGATAATTAAAAATGTATGTCTACATATCAGTATATATCTATATATCTTTTGGTAATGAACACAGAAATGCTAATGTTTTTTAGCACAAGAGTCAGTATTAATACTTTTATTAAAAGACTTAGTTCCTTTAAAAAGAATAGAACATATATAGTTATTTTCAAATATATAAAAATATCTCCAACAGGTCTAACATGTAATTAAAAAAAAAAAAAAAAAAGGCTAGATTCAAAGCAGATCTGCCATTTGCAAGGCACTGCCCTTCACAGGAACGCTTCCACTATGTGACTGCTGGAAAGAGAAGAGAAGGCCTATTTCTGAAATCTTCTCTTTGTCCCTGTGGTGGAAAATATCAGTTCATCCTCCCACTGACAACAGAGAACATCTATATGCAGATAAGGAATAATAAAATAGGCCTTTAATGTCATGTACAGATTATTTCATATTTCTTAAGAATGGTGCTATATAATATTACTGTGCACAAAATCACAGATGCTTCAAGAAAATCATGTGGTTTTTAAATACTGCTGCTATTGCCACCCACAGGCTCAAGGAAACCTGCAGCCTGCTACATGCAATTGCTTAACCAGCCTCAGCTCCAATCACTACACGGAAAAGCTGAACTGGCAAGAGTGTGGGTCAGTTGAGATGATCCAATTCCTGACCTGCACTCTTCCTAAAAATACCCGACCAGCAGGACTCCAAAGAAGGACTCCCTTGGCAGGACTCCCTGCTAAGAGAATTCCAAAAAGAGAGCCAGTCCTTATTTACCAGGCCTGAGCTCAAAACAAAACTGAATAGCAATCCCTGGGTCTGAGGTCACATCCTGAAACATCTAGTTATGGGCCAACTGATGGCACAGTGGTGGTTGAGGAAGCTGGATCCCAAGACCCAGAGACTTGAAAAACATGCTGGGTGTGTATGTGCATGCCCACAACTCCTAGAGAAGGTAGGAACAGAGAAGGGACTGCAGCGTGACCATCCCCCAAGGAGCGTGCTATCTACTTTCCCTCTCTCCCAAGTGAGTGCAGGAGCCCTCTAGCAAATGAAAACAAATCTGGTTATACCAGTAATGAAGCATACACTGTTTCCAAATGCTTCCCCTTCTTCGTTTCCAGTAGCAATAACATCACCTCAAGGTCCCAGCTCTCTCTCTCTCTCAAGAGGCAGAGTGGAACAGCAATCCAGTGCCCATCAGAGTCTTAGTCTTGCACTATGGTGTGCTTCACTGTGCTTCCATCTTGACCACAGAGGCTTCCGCCACTCCACCTGGCAGGTCCACAGCTGACCGGTCCCGCCAGGACTGCTCTGCAGCAGCAGTTACCTGAAGGGCCCTGAGGAGCTGCTCCTTGGTGATTTCAGGAGGCTCTGCCCCTGGTCAGAGAGAGCAAATGTGCACAGATTAGGCTAAAACCAGCACACTGGGGCCATTGTGGCCAAAGACACTCTTCTCGTTGGGGGACATGAGGAAGACAAGCCTCTGGGTCAGAACCAAGGGGGCCACATTAGGCAGAAAAATGGGTCCTAAGGGAGGCCCACAGCACCTATTAGACCAGCCCAACCCCATCTAGGACTACTGGTCCCCCCTCCCTGATTCCAGCTACTTCGAAGGACTGACAGATGTAGGATCGTGTCTTCCACGATCCATGACACCTGCCAGCTCCCAGGAGTTTGGAAGGGGCTGTGACTTTGTAACTTCAGAGCTTAAGACAGTGTTCTTATAACACATCAGGCAGCATAGCATATTCTTGTAACCCCAAGGGGGCCCATTAGACTCGAAAACATGCATGATATGGTCAAACAACTGTCAATCTGAGTCTGAGCTCTGGGATGCAGTGTTCCACCAACAAACAGTATCCCTCCATACTGACGATAGCTTTTGTTGAGCTACTGTGCCCCAAGTTCCTCCTGAGAACATCACCCACCTTTAAGAGTTCTGACAAAGTGTCTAAAGAGTTCTCGGTATGCATCCCGGTAACGACTAGCCTGCGTCTGGGAGCAGAGGGACAGGGAAGTACCCTGCCCAGTGATGCCCAAGGGGTTCTGATTTTCCATCCGCAACATGCCTTGAGAACCATGCACCTGGGGAATCATGCGAGATAAAAATTAAATGTGCAAATGGTTAAAAATAGTAAGTAGCATGTTCTTACCTATGTAGTAGTGTTAACTTGTAATTAGAAGCAGAGTTTTGGAACCAGCAGTTAGCTGGTTATGTCGCTGGATTCCCATATAGTCGACCGCTGTTCAAGTCCCGAACCCAGTGGCTTAAACTCACGCCGGGCGCGTGTGCGTGCATGCTCAAGATCCCGAGAGGAGAGTGGAGGAGAAGGAATTGTGGCATGGCCATCCCCCCTGGGGGGTGATTTCTCGCTTTCTGTCTCTCTGTCTTTCTGGTGAGTGCATGTGCCCTACAGCAAAAACCTCTCCCAAAAAAAAAAAAAAAAAAAAAGTAGTGTTTTATGTGGTGAAGGGGTGGGAGGTGAGCATAGGACACCTATTACCCAGGATTTTTTTTTAGTTTTTCGCCATAGGGTATGTGCACTCACCAGAGAGACAAAGAGTGGGAAAGTGAAAAATCTCTCCCTGGGGGGATGGCCATGCCACAGTCCCTTCTCCTCTATCCTCCTGGGATTTCTGAGCACAAACGCACACACATGGCATGATTTTCAAGGGGTTAAGTCATGCGATTTGGACAGTGGTCAGCCATGTGTGAGTCCAACACCTTAACCACCATGCCACCTGCTGGTCCCATCCAGGATGCCACATTGTAGTGCGAGAACGAGTTTTACATGTAATAACCAAGGAATCACAGATTTCTCTGAAACAACAACTACCATCATGGAAAACCAACTTCACAAAAACAACTCCTTAAGGCATCAGGGTCAAAGAAAGAATCTTCATCAATAAAACATGGAAAACTTGACTTTCACTGTCAAAGTTTTAAATGATTTTTTTAAAAACTAAAGACAAATATTTAGGGCCAACAGATGTCATGGAGGTTAAGGCAGCTGGATCCCACACAGCTGACTACACAGTTTGAGTCCCAGACCCAGAGGTTTGGAAAACAGGCCAGCATGTGTGTCTGTGTGTGTGTGGGGGGGGGCAGGGGGGGTGCCCAAAATCCTTACAGGAGACTAGATATGGCTATTCCCCCTGAGTGGTGCTTTCCCATCCCCACCCCCGCCCCCTGCCCTCTCTCTGGCAAGTATATGTGCCTTATAAAAAAAATGTTTAAAAAAATGACAAATATTTATTGGGCACCTACTGTCTACAAGGCACCATTCTAGTAATGTTCCTGCTGTACAGACACTCTGAACAGTGTGGCCATTGTAACTTCTATCTAACCTTAAGAATGCAACTCAGAGGACCAGCAGTTAGTGTAATGGCTATATTGCTGGACTCCCATGTGGTCGACCGCGGTTCACATCCTGGACCCGGTGGCTTAAAACTCACGCCAGGCGCATGTGCCTGCATGCCCAAGATCCCAAGAAGAGAATGGAGGCGAGAAGATTGCGGTCTGGCCATCCCCTGGGGGGTCATTTCTCACTTTCTGTCTCTCTGTCTCTCTTTGTCTGTCTGGCAAGTGCACGTGCCCTATAGGAGGTGCGCCCGCCCAAGAAAAAAAAAAAAAAAAAAAAAAAAAAAAAAAAATCTCTCCCCCTCAAAGAATGCAACTCTGGGGTTCAGTGGGTGGTGTGGTGATCGGGAAGCTGGACTACCACATGGCTGTGTTTTGAGTTCCCAACATGGTAGTTTGAAAATCATGCTGGGCACATGTGCATGCATGCTCGAAATCCCAGGTAGAGAATGGAGGAGAAGGGATTGTGGCATGGCTATCCCCCCTGGAGAGTGATTTCTCACTTTCCCTCTCTCCAGTGAGCATGCATGCCCTATGGGGAAGAGGAAAGAATGGAAGTCAATGTTTTTGCTTTTGTTTGCTAGAGGACATGTGTGTTTGCCAAAGAAAGACAGAGACACACACATACACACACACAGAGAGAGAGATAGGAAAAAGCACCCCGCACCTACATGGGTAATGATCACACTACAATCTCTTCTCCTCCATCTCTCCTCCTCAGCTGGGATTTTGAGGATGTACGCACGCGTCCCTGGCATGTGTCTCAAGCACCCAGGTCCAGAGCTTAAACTACAAGGTCAGCCATGTGGGATATGACTGCCAACACCACACGAGCCCAACTATATTTTTCACAGTGAAAACAGGCAGGCAAAAAAGAGTTAGGGATTACCTCCAGTCTCTGATCACAGCTGTTTGTGCAATGCTGCCTGATGTCCAAGTTGACAATAGCCCCGCTAGGAAATTTCATGCTAATCACAACAGTATCTGCATCTTTTAAGGAGGCCATATCTAAGTAGAAGGACATTTTAGATAATATGAATGTTAATTTAAGCATGTTGTATACTTCTGATATTCCCAGAAAGCATGTAAGGTTTAAAAACACGGTATACAGATTTCACAGCAAACAGTAAAATGGAGATAAAAAAGATTATTGCTGGTGAATCAGTCAATGCAAAAGTGATTCTAAGGCACACCCAAGAGAGGCTACAGAGCTAGCCTAAGGTGAAGCCCTTGATGATGAACAATCCAAAAGCTTCATGCTGCCCGAGGCAAACCGGAAGTGCAGTAAAGATACCAATGCTTTCTACAACTAGGTTTTCCAGAAGCAATTTAAAAGCTGCCTGATGACAAATGTGGGCTAACGTTAGACAAATCTGCAACAGGAAGAGAGCTGTGCACCTGTGGCAGTGAGGACAGAGTTCTCACAGTTCTCCCCGCTGAGCCATCATTTGGGTAAGTAACTCTAACAAGACACTGTTCTTGAGACAAGCTATTTTCAAGCCTTTCTAAAGCACTGGCAGAGGCCTGCTTAATACAAACAGGCCAACCTGGGGCCCCTCTGGTGGAAGAGTTAAGGGGACCAGAACCAATTCCCAGCTACCCATGAACTCTCTGACCTGCTCCCTCCAAATGTGGCCCGAGAACCCCTGAATCTCAGCAGTGAGAAGGAATCTGGCGATGTCCTGATGGCAGTCTTCTTTGAAAGAAAAAGAAAACAAGGAGATGCTGGTCTTTCTCAGTCCTCTAGTTTACAAAGTAAAATAAAGTTTATTAAAGTATGTTAAATAATGTTTATCTAACCTAAGGTCTCCTTTCCTGAAGACATAGAAGGTTCAAGTTACCTAGGTTCCATTTATGGTCCTTAAATGGGGGGTGGGGGGGCTGCTGCTTTTCTGTGACTAGAACCATTTAGAACATGTAGACAGGTATAAAAGAGTAGCTAAATGCCACTTGTAAACCCTCCATGCAGACAAAAACAGTAACATTTTGGAATATTTATTTCTAACACTTTTCCTGTGTGCACACACTCACATACACATATATATGTACATCTACATAGCAAATATAGCTTTTATATCGCTGGGCTAATATATATGTGTGTGTGTGTATGTGTGTGAATGTATATATATATGTGTGTGTGTGTGTGTATTTTTTTAAGAATTATTTTATTTAACTTTATTTATCTATTTGAATTTAATCAGAGAGCCACAGAGTGAGAGAGAAATGGAAAGTGAGAAAGCCCCCCCTAAGGGGGATAGCCACACCACCATCCCATCTCCTCTCAGAATTCTGGGTGTGACCACACAAATGCCCAGCATGCTTTTCAGGTTGCTGAGCTCAGGACTTGAACTGTGCAGTCAGCCAGACTGGGGTCCAGCTGCCTTAACCACCAGGCCACGGGCTTGCTCTGGGCTAATATTCTTCATTCAGTTTTGTTCTCTACTTTTTCCCTTGCTTCATTCTACCTTAAGCTTATATAAGCTTATGTCATCAGAAACTTTCCATAAATCTGCATTTTAGTGACTTCAGAAGATCCCATTACACTGACACATACTTTGTGGGTGAGAGCCTCCAAACTGAGCATCTCACCTCACCTAGTGCTTCCAGATTTACTTCCCCAACCTGGCTGGGACTTCCTTCCAGACAAGGACAGCATCTTACCCAACTTTGCAACCCTGCAGGAGGGCCTGTCACATAATAGGTGCTAGAGAAACGTCTATTAAAACAGTGACTCTCTTGGGCCAGCCTTGCAGTCTAGTAGTTAAAGGAGCTGGGTCTCACACAGCCAAACCAGTTTGATTTCTATCTCTGGTAGCTTGAAAAACACATTGGGCACATGTGCATGCATGCCCCAAATCCCAATAGGATAGAGAAATGCAGAAGGGATGGCAGTGTGACCATGCCCCACTGGGAGGTGCTTTCTCTCCAGCCCCCTTCTCTGTCTCTCCCTCTCTCTCTGGCAAGCGTTCATGACTTCTGGCAATTAAAAAAAAAAAAAGTGACTCCAGGGCCAACAGGTGGCATGGAGGTTAGGGCAGCTAGATCCCACATGGCCAACTGGGTCATTTGAGTCCCAGACCCAGCAGCTGGAAAAACATGTTGAACATGTGTGTTTGCATGCCCAAAATTCCCAGAGGATGGAGGAGAAGGGAATGAAGTGTAGCCATCCCTCCCTAGAGGGTAAGTTCTTACTTTTCCTCTCTCTCTCTGTGTCTCTCTCTCTCTCTCAGGCAAGTACATGAACTCTATAGCAAAAAAGAAAGAAAGAAAGAAAGAAATGACTTTCAATGTTCACCACATGGCAAACACTTCTTGTAAGATGCCTTTTAGCTGCTGGGAAATACCTGAAGAACCCAGGATCTGGACCATTCATAAGTTTTCTCCCACATGTCCCAGGTTGCTTTGTCTATTCCTCATAGCTGGGCAAGGGGAAGATCCCTAAACAGAACTAGGTGTTCACAAAGCCTTGGGAGTCCCAGGAAGGCCTTGAAGAACACCACACTCTTACCTGGGCAGAAGGCGTGTCCCAGAGAAAACACAGTGTCTGGAGTGGATCCCCCCAGCAATAGGCCCACTACATCCACGTCGTGCACAGCAGCATTGTAGAAAATCCCACCTGGACACAAAGGGGAGCAAGCTGCAGCTTCTGGTCTCAAGGGAAGCTACTGGATAAAAGTACCAGTGGTTTCTCTGGCCACAGGGAGCCAAGTGACAGCCACACCCTGACTCAGATGCCAGGATGTGCTGCATTCCCACTACACTGATGTCTTACCTGCCTGCTTCAGGAAACCCACAGAGGCTGCTGGGTACAGGCTGCTGACGGCAGAGACCTGGCGGATCCTCCCCAGTGCAAGGCCATCACACACCTGCTTGTGTAAGAACTGGAAAGCCGGGTCGAAGCGCCTAGAAAAGAAGACAGGAAACAAGGTTCCCACAGCCCATTCTCTAAGAAACTTCATCTCAACCAGCTGAGGTCCTGAAGCCAAATTTGACGCCAGGGTCTTCTGGACTACAACTTAAAAGCCCCTGTGAAAGAACATAAATATCACTGATGCTCACACACAAACCTTCTGCTGGGCATGAGTGAAGGAGCAGGTGTATGCTAGACACTTCACTTATCTTGACCCTCCGTATGTTTACACCACACAATTTCTGTGAGGAAATACCTTTCTGACCTGTCCCCTCCTCCAAATATGACCTCCATGCAGACGAAGGCCATGGTGTTTGATTCACCAGGAGATGCCAATGCCTAAGATGGCTCCCGACAACTAGGGCACTGCAGGTGCCTCACTGCCTTCGAGGCAGAGCCGAATGGAGCTGAGCAGTATGTCTTCTGTTACTCGGTTGACTCTGTCCAATAACCAACAACGTGAACCATGTTACCCCCAGTTTGCAGATGATAAAATGGCTCAGGGAGTTATTCAACACGCCCAGATCACCAAGCTGGCCATTGGCAAAGACACAACAGAGCACCTTGTTAGACCGACTGCATCTCCTGTACATGCCCTACTGCACCAGGTCTCTTTAGAGCAAAAGGATCATAACAGAAGAAGCCAATCATTATACCTGTTACACAACCCCAGAAACACAAATCTCATTGAAAGACTGAAAGTCAGGGTTTTTTTAAAATGTACTCTGAAAAAAAATCACAAGGAAAACTGTTCTTACTTGTAAAATCCACAGACTAAAGGCTTTCCACATCTGTGGGCCTCATCAAAGCAGGACTCAGCAATCTGCCTGTCCAAACTGGGAAGTCTCTCGCAGAATACCCCTTTCCCTGAAAATTATAAGGAGACCAAGAGATCATGGCATAGAGAGCAGAATGTTACAGATCCACAGCCCCAACTTTGTGTTTCTCTATGCCCACAGACTGGCTGTAAGCCCAGAGCCTTGTTACAGGTGATAAAGTCTGGAAAACTCCTTCCCCGCACAAGGCAGGGAAAATGAATCCATTTCAAAGTTTATAAATACAGATGTAATTTCTATGTATTTCATTTTTGAAGTCACCAGATCCAGGACTTGAATCACAGTGGGCCATGTGGAAGTCCAGCACCTCAACCACTATGCCACCTGCTGCCACCCCCCCACCCCCACACACACATACACTGTTTTTAAATGTGATGTGCTCTTATGATTGCAAGGTTGATGGAGGGCTCTTGAGTCCCCATTACTCTTTCCTATTTGAATTGCTGCAGATGCTTCACTGCCTTTGAGGCAGAGCTGAATGGAGGTGGGCAACGTGTCCTAGGTTACCCAGCTTACAGGAGGCTGAGCCAGGACTGGACCCTAGCAGAGTGGTTCTAGTCTATGTGACCCCGTACACCTGACCAAAATGTGTGTCTTGTTTTCTTTTTTTAGATCACCAAAACACAAATGTGAAATTATGATGTGGATGTTGAGAACTCACAGATCTTAAAGAATACCATCAGAAAGCTGTCAACATCCATTTGAGAAACTCTGTCCTGTTTTGTATCTAGACCTCTTTGCCTCTCATCTGCCAAGAGATAGGTCACCAGGCTTGGTAACATTTCTACAAGTAACCGATTCGTTTCCATACTTAGCTGCACAGAACTATCTGGGGCCTTGAGGAAGGCTCCCCTGAGCCATTACCAGCAAGTAACTGTGAGCACATGGTTCCGACCCAGGTTATGAAGCCTGAGCCAAGCCCCTTCTGTAGAATACTGGAATCTCTGCCCAAGATAAAAAGTTGCAGGACCTGGCACCAGGAGTTAGCATAATGGCTATGTTGCTGGACTCCCACGTAGTCGATCACGGTTCGAGTCCTGGACCCGGTGGCTTAAACTCACGCCAGGCACATGTGCGTGTGTGCCCAAGATCCCTAGAGGAGAATGGAGGAGAAGGGATTGCAGCGTGGCCATCCCCCCTGGGGGGTGATTTCTCGCTTTCTGTCTTTCCGGCGAGCGCATGCGTCCTATAGCAAAAAAAGAAAGAAAAAAAAAGTTGCAGGACCTAATCTTTCACCTCAAGAAACTGGATCAAGGTTGGCAAACTACTGCAAGGTCCATTTTTGTGTATCCTGGGGAGCTAATGGTTTTTACAATTTTAAGAAGTAGTACCTCTTCTATACAAGCATTTCCAGAAAACTAAAGAGGTAACATGTCTTAACTCAGTTTAAGAGGCAACTATTGCTCCAAAACCAGGTAAAAACATTACCAAAAAAAAAAAAAAAAAAAAAAAAAAAAACCAACAACAACAACAAAAAAAAACTTACAGACCAATATCCTTTATGAACATAGATACAGAAGTTCTTAATAAAAACTTGATAAATCAAATCCAACAATATATAAAAAGGATAACAGTATATTCAAGTGGGTTTATCCCAGGTACGTTGAAAGGCAGGTTAAAAACTAGATCAATCATCTATCATCTTCACAGATGCTGAAAATGCATTTGACAAAAATCAACACCCACTGACGATAAATAATTTCTGCATGTTAGGAACAGAAAGTGAATTTCTCAAACTAATAGAACAAATTAGGAACAGAAAGTGAGTTTCTCAAACTAATAGAACATACATCATACTTATAATGAAAGACTTCTGCCCTATGTTTGTGAACAAGATGAAGCTCTTATAATGCTAGTTCAACATAATGTGACAGGTCCTAGCCAGTGCACTAACACAAGAAGAAAGGCAAATTGGAAGGAAAGAACACCCCACTGCAGTGGCACTCAGGTAACACCACTGGTTGGGAAGCTGGAGGCTGTATGAGAGGCCCAGATCTGGTTCCTGGGATGACCTGAATGTGCCAGGCACAGTTTGTATGTGCCTATGATCCTGGCTAATTGGGAGGCTAGGGTAGAAAGATTGCTGCATGAGGAGGCCTATCAAAAATACTATTGTCAGAGTGGCCAGCAGGTGGCATGGTGGTTAAGGGCACTGGACTCTCACATGGCCGACCATGGTTCAAGTCCCAGACCTGGTGGCTTGCTTTCTCACTTTTCCTCTCTCTCTTTCTCTCTTTCTGTCCCTGTCTGGTCAAATTAAAAATAACTAACTAAATAAATAAAGTTAAATAAAATAATTCTCAAAAAAATACTCTTGACAGAAATAAGTAACTCTGCAGAAATAATAAGCAATAATTGTGGCTTATTACTAAGCATGAGCTTGAGTAAATAGGCCCAAAGAAAGAAAAATATGTTTCTCAGGATGCTCCTTTTATTTGGTTTTGAGAGACAGAGACAAAAAGTTTGCAATTTAGTGTAAAGAGTTTTTTTATTGGTCTGGCCCCAAAATGTGAGACATCTGTTAATGAAGGCTTGTAGGTTATAGCTGGGTTTACAAATTGTTAGGTTGGTGATTGGAAAGGAAGGTCTTTGTTCCAGGAAGAAATCAGCAAAAGACTGTGTTTTATTTTAACAGAGATAAGAAAGCTTTACTTTAATAGAAGTAAGAAGGTTTACTATGTATCATAAAGATACTATGCCAGGGACAGGATGTAAGAAGGGTCCTATCAGCAATGAATCACAGCTGTCTATTAATGTTGTAGGTGTGACTTCCCCAGAGTCCTTTGGAAAGAATTTTGGAATAGGAAAAAATTCACACTTTTGTTCTCAATACCTATCTTTTGTCTTTCTCACTTTCTCTTTCTCCCACCCCTCTCTCTCTCATAAAGGAAAGAGAGAAAGAGAGAGAGAGAGAGAGAGAGAGAGAGGAAGGAAGGAAGGAAAGAAGGAAGGAAGGAAGGAAGGAAGGAAGGAAGGAAGGAAGGAAGGAAGGAAGGAAGGAAGGAAGGAAGGAAGGAAGGAAGGAAGGAAGGAAGGAAGGAAGGAAGGAAGGAAGGAAGGAAGGAAGGAAGGAAGGAAGGAAGGAAGGAAGGAAGGAAGGAAGGAAGGAAGGAAGGAAGGAAGGAAGGAAGGAAGGAAAGAAAGAAAGAAAGAAGAAAGAAAGAAAGAAAGAAAGAAAAAAGAAAGAAAGAAGAAGGAAGGAAGAGGGGGAGAGAGAAGGGAATAGGAAAGAGAAGGAGAGGGTAACAGAGAGAGAGTGTGAGAGAGAGAAAAGAGATTTCCTCCAGAACCCAGGTAAAATCTTAGCAGAATATTTGTTGTAGAAACCAACAAGGTGATTCTAAATATATATGAAAAAAAAAAGGATCTAGAGCAGCCAAAAATCAATTTAAAAAAGAACAAGTCAGAGTCCCCCCCCACCTCCCCCACACACACATACACACAAAAACACACACTTCAATTTTCTAGATAGAAACCAATTTAGTGTTGGTGAAAAAGCAGGCAACTGACTAAAGACAGAGGAGACTGACTTCTGACAGAATGTGAAGGCAACTCCATGGAGAAATGAGTACTTCAATGGCACCCCAGGATCCTGCCACAGTTGCACTGTCCTACCCCAGGATATGGCTCACAACTCCTGCCCCCTGCTCTTTGAGCCAGGCCGAGAGGCACTCTCAGTCGTCCTGGGGGTTGCTCCCTGTAGGAAGTCTCATTCGTTTCCACTGCTCACACTAACACCCAACTGATACAAAGGTCAAACATGGTTAGGGTGTGGGCCATGTTCATAGCATCATTATTCACAAGAGCCAAAAGGGTCTATCAATGGATGAATGTATAAACAAAATTCAGTCTATACATACCATGGAAATAAGGAAACTCTGACACCTGCTATTATACACACACATCTGGAGGACATTATGTCAGTGAACTAAGTCAGCCACAAAAGGATAACTGCGGTGGACGGAAAATAGCCAACTCTGTAAAAATAATAATTAGTGTGGTTTATTTCTAAGCAGAATATGAGTGACCTAGGCCAGAGAGGAGGCAAAACATACCTTTCTCTTGGGGTGATCAGGTATAGGGGTTCCATCTATTTGATTTTCAGAGTGAGAGACAAAGTTTGGAATCTGGTGAAAAATATCTCCAAAAAGGCAGAACATGTAGAAGAGGGGTCTTGTAGGTTATAGGTGGGTTTCACAGTTTCTAAGGTGGTGACTGGAAAAGGAAGGTTGCTGAGATCAGAATGGAATGTGCTTTAATAGCGATAAGAAGGCTCAATATACATCACAAAAATACTCCAATACTGTGCCAGGGGCAGAAAGTAGGAAGAATCCTGTTACTCGTGGGTCAAAATGGCCTGTTAATGTTTGTGGGCCCGACTCCCTCTAGGCCCTCTGGAAAGGATTTTGGAAAAAATAGGAAAAAGCAGTCAGACTTCTGTCCACACTACTATGAGTCTACTCACATTTCATCTCTAGAGTTGTCAAATTCATAAAGACAGGAAGTTGAATGGTGGTTGCCAGGGGCTAGGACAAGGAGTAAGGGAGGGTTACTTCGAGGGTAGAGTTTAGCTTGGAAGATGAATGGCTGCACAACACAGTGAATGTACTTAATGTGACTGTACTAATTATTATGTATTCAATTTATTAATGTATTTAACACAAGCACACTTAATTGAATGGAATGGTACACTTAAAAATGGTTAAAATGGGGGACTAGCAGGTGGTGTGGTGGTTAAGGTGCTGGACACTCCCACATGGCTGACTAGGGTTCAAGTCCTGAATCTGGTGGCTTGCTTTCTCACTTCCTCTCTCTTTCACTCTCGCCCTCTGTCTCTCTCTGGTCAAGCTAAAAAAATAAATGAATGAATGAATGAATGAATGAATAAAATAAAATAAAATAAATAATTATTTTTAAAAAATGGTTAAAATGGTAAATTTTATGTGAACTTTACCATAATTAAAATATTAACACAAAATGATCAGGAGATGCCAGATTCCACTAACATATAAAGTTAATGAGGCTGTGTAATTATCTTGTCCATTTAATTATCTTGTTTTTTTTTTTTCCCCCTCCAGATTACTGAAGAATAAGACCTATTTTCACCAAATTAACACCAGTTACCATTCCGAGGAACCAGCACTGCAGCACACTGAGTTCAGTTGTAGTGGCGTGCACTGCTGACTGCTCCACAGGCTGGGATTCAGTTCCCAGTCCAACCTGCAGGTCAGGTGCCGTGATATGCACTTGAAGTCCCAGCTGGCAGGACATGGCTAGAGCCTGTCTTCAAAAAAAAAGTTTAAAACTTTGGAAAGTGCTCACTAGGTCTATTGAAACCCTCCCAGATTTTCAAGTGGTATTTCATTTTCATGTAAACCCACCTGACACCAGCCTCCACCCTACCCAGAGTAGACACACAGTAACCATGCTGGCAAATGGTATAAGCCCCAGCCTTTACCTGCTCTGAGAGCGTCTATCACTATTTCTGAAGCTGCCTCTGGTGGGGAACAGACAACAACTCCAGAGACCCTGTGGGAATAAAAGGGAGTGTTTCAATATGTGAGCTAGAATGTTCCAGAATCCAAACTATTAAACACCACTCTACACCAGCTCAGTCACATGAGAATAACTGAAGGAAAAAGGGCTCACCAAAGTGAAATATAAAAGCACTAAGAGTAAGCACTAAGCACAACTTGCTGCTGAATTTACAGTTTATAGGGCATACAGATTCCAATCAAGTCTTGGAATGTCACAAACCCCTGTGAATCGAATACTAAACACTAAGATTCTCAGAAAGATAGTCTGTCCTCACTTAACAACTCTCCTCCACCCACAGTGGTCAGCCTTGGGTGCTGACTGTGAGGGGTTAGGAGCCTCTGGGAGATTCTGGGGATCAGGGACTGGCCCCACAGGGCTGCTCAGTTTGCAAGAACCCGGTGACGTGGGCACTTCCCTGCATGTGCATTTTGTACACACAATGTTATATTGGATTTGTACACTCCACCTATGAGAGACTTCAATCAGAAGCACGAACTTTCCTAAACCTAGAATGGAGAGCATGCTCAGTGTGGGAGTCCAAACTGGTGAGAAGAAAAAAAAAGGGGGGAGGGCTGAAGAAGATAATGGCTTATATAATGGAAAACCAAAGCCTACCAACTTTCCAAAAACATCAGACTTTTGACATTCATAAATATGCATCAGGGTAACAGTGAGGCTTTATTATCATATAGCACCATTCACCTAGATATTTTCAGAACACTATCTGTGACTTGAGATTAAATTCTCACCTTGGGGGCCAGCAGGTGGTGTGGTGGTTAAAGCACTGGACTCCCACATGGCCAAGTGCAGTTCAAGTCCCAGACCTGGTGGCTTACTTTATCACTTTCCCTTTCTGTCTGTCTCTCTTTGGTCAAATTAAAATAAATAATAATAACAAATAAAACGAAATAAATATTTTTAAAAATAAACTTTCTCCTTTATCTTTATTAAGAGTGTATTGGGGCCAGCAGGTGGCATGGTAGTTAAGGGTGCTGGACTCCCACATGGCTGACGGTGGTTCAAATCCTGGATCTAGCGACTTGCTTTCTTGCTTTCACTCTCTTACTCACTTTGTCCCTCTCTGGTCAAATTGAAATCAATAAATTAATTAATTTAATTAACATTTTTTAAAAAGTATATTTAGGGCCAGCTGGTGGTGTGGCAGTTAAAGTAGCTGGATTCCACCTGGTCCACAGTGCAGTCTGAGTCTGGGACCTGGCAACTTGATAAACACTCCAGGCACATATGCGTGCATTGTCCAAAATCCCCAAAGAAGAATGGAAGAAGAAAAGAAAAGAAAAGAAAAAGGATTGTGTTATGGCCAGCCCCTGGAGGGGGCAGATTTTTTACTTTCCTTCTCTCCCCTTCCCACTCTCTGGTGAGCACATGAGCCCTATAGCAAAACTTAAAAAGAAAAGAAAAGCAGCTCAAAACTTAGGAGATTTTGGGCTCATGTGCGTGCATGCCCAAGATCCCAAGAGGAGAATGGAGGAGAAGGTGATTTCTTGCTTTCTGTCTGTCTCTCTCTGTCTTTCTGGCGAGTGCATGCACCCTACAGCAAAAACCTCTCCAAATTAATAAATAAATAAAATAATACAGAAAAACATTTTTTTAAATCTTAGGAGCTTTGGCAGAAGGATAGAAGCTATGAATGCCAGAGCAAATCTGGCAGGTCCAAGGTGGGTCTGGTTGTCTCTGTCAATAGCATAGGGCAGCTCTGCAACAGGAAACAGCAGGAAGTGCTCAGCTCAGCTCTTGATGTCAGGGCTGCACCTGACCCCATGGCCAGCAGTGGCTGGGCAGGCCATCTAAGTCTTCCGTGTGGCCACACGGTCCTGGCAGGACTAGAAAGCTGCCCTCGGTGTTGTGCTCAGCTGCTGCAACAACACACCCTAACTGCGTGGACTGTCGCGTGTGGCTGTGCAAGTTTAAGAAGGAAGTCAGCACCAACTTCCCAAATCCGGCCACAACGACACCCTGCTCCCAACCCCTCGCTGCCCTCCTTGCTTTCTCCTGCTTGGCCCCCTCCGGCATGGCCTCCCATAGCAGTGAAAGATCTGTAGGGGCAGTGTTTTCCCACTCAAGTCAGGTCAGCCAGCCTCTGCTCAAGTCCCTGGCAGTTTTCCCACTAGCTGTACAGAACTCAAAGCCTGTGAGCGAGCGCCACCCCTCTAGGCTCTTTGTGCCAGCACCTCATTATCCAGCCTTCCCCCAAGGTCATGCATCATTCAGGCCAGCACAGTCATGCTGCTACTCCCTGAATAAGCCAGACACGCTCCTTGTCAGAGCGGGAGAGGTACTCGGCATCCTCTGTCCAGGGTGCTGCACCCCAGATACCTGCAGGGCCAGCTCGCTCACCCATTCAGGTCTCTGCTCCAACATCCCCTTCCTCAGAGGCTCCTCCAGTCATATCACCTAAAATCCTGACCCAGCTTGGTTTCTCTTCATGAGCCTTATTGCTACTCATGCTGCACTAGGAGCTATAGGTCTGTCACTCCACCAAATTCAGCAGCACAAGAATGGGGGCTTTGCTGCATCCGGCCCATGTCTCCAGCCCCTAGAACCATGTCCGGCATGCTGGCATTCAATAAACCTTTGTAGGCGACTGAAACCATACCGCTGGTCGTTGAGGACCACGTCTGCGTCCTGTTCTTGAACCACTCTTGTGCTGACCAAATATTCGGCTCTGAAGGCACGCTCCACGTCACACAGCTGATTCTCAACAATGTACAGCAAGCAGCAGCTGTTCTCATCCATTAAACTCTGAAACAGTGCTGTGCTGCCATATGCTACCCCAAAGATGGCCAGACCAAGACGGCCGGGTGCCCCGGCTCCAACATCACTGAACCACTTCATGCCACCTCCAGACAACACACTGCGAGAGGCATCTGAAACAAGTCTTTGGTTGGTCTGCTTTGAGGGCACTGACAGCCTCTTCATTTGGAGAGCAGGAAACTCTGAACGGTGGCTGGAGGAAGCAGACGCCATTTGGTTCTCCCGGGCAGACACACCACTCGTGGTAGAGGTGATAGCACTGGTGGGGACAGGGAATAGGGATGTGTGGCCCACAGGAGAAGGGGGAACCAGGCTGGTGCTGCAGGGACTGGCTGCCAGTGGAGTCTGAGGGTGACTCAGGTGTGCAGGAAGGCCCACTGCAGCAAGGTCCGAGGATGCTGAACTGGACAGAACAGAAATCCATTTTAACAAAATGTAGCAAGATCCACAGTACCTAGCACACAAATCATCCTGGACGATTAACAGTGGGGAATTACTCAGTCCAGTACATCCCTGGCCCATGATAGGAAGTGTTCAGATGATTTGGTACAACTTAACTAAATGGGCAATGAACAGGAACAAAGTGCACAATTCTAAGACTTCTCAGGATTTACTCTCTAAATTGACAAGCCACTAGCAGACTACCTAATCCCTAATCCCTACCCAGTTTGACTTCTCTTCATAAACTCTATTACTGTATTAGCATTAATATGCTGCATTGGGATCTACATGTCTGTCTACTACCTAAAGGATAATCAGGTGGTATGTCCAGGTAATGAGAATCATTAGCAGGGCAGAGAAGCCTAATAAGGACACATTCCTACCTGCTCAGATCTCTTGAAATTCTGGTGTAGACCTCAGGGTCTCACACTTACCTGATAATGGGCATCCCAAGGCCGTGCTGCCTGATAAGCCTGCGGTTTCTGTAGTGCCTGCCTGAGGAGAGATGCTCCAGGATGCGGTCCCTCCTCACCTGCATGGGGAGCTCGCAAGCCCTGCAGTAGAGCGTCTCCACTACCGAGGTGTCCCCAGAGTCACTGTGCTCGATCAGGTGCTGCTTCACCACCAAGTCTGAGAACTCCGCTGCATAATCATGTAAAGTCTTCTTTTTCCGGCCCATTGCAGAAGTCACCAAGGCACTGGGATGGAAACGGAGGCGGCAGGAGACTTGCTGTCACCGCTCCTGAAGCAGAGGCATTAGTGTCAGAGCCTCACCACGTCTGGGAGGAGACTTCTAGTGGTCTCCCATGTCGGACGGGACCCCAACTTGAGCGCCGCCACCGGCCTCGGGGCCTCAGTTTAAAACCTTGACGATTCCCCCACAACCCGCTAACGACCCGGATTCGGAAGCGCGGGAGCAAGAGCACCCACGGAAGCAAGACGCAGGGCGGGGTCTTGAGCGTGGGGCGGAGCCTGAGTGGTGGCCGAGCCGTGGAAATGAGGCGGAGGCGGGGCTCCGGCGGTGGGGCGGGGCCTTGGACACAGGGCGGAGTCTTGGGCGTGGGCCAGGCCTGAGGGGCGGGGCTCTGGTGGCCGACGGGGCCGGGGCGGGGCGCGGAGCGGAGATCTGGCCAGTTCCAGAGGGCGCTGTCACCCTGAATTTCGGGCTGTTTCTCTGGCCAGGTTATCTCTGGGCCTAGTATCTCCCCACAGGATTTCCCTGATCGACAAGAGGCCTTTGTGCTCTTAATTTGGCTTTGCAAAAATTAAATTTTCAATTAAAATTTCTTTTTAAATAATCAAAAACCATATGCTTTTTAGTATTGGACTTTCTACTTGGATTTTATTAATGAAGGCCCTGAAACTCCACGTTGCTGTTCCGTGAGTAAAGGAGCACACGCGACATCTGCGGCAGGGGGGGGGTTCAGGCACGGGGGGCCAAGCTTACGGGGG